CATTTCTAAGTACACATATCATAACTTTCATTTCATAATTTAAAAGAAATTGTCCCAAGAATCTCAAACAGAAATCAATATGAGACTTGCCTTACTGCCCTGGGTCTAACTTTGATCCAGTGGGATATCATTCCATCATCTTCCTGTTTTAATAAAAATATTTAAAACAATGCTATCTTGTTTTAAAGGGTTTTTTAAAAGAGCTATGGTACTACAAGTAATGACTAGGCCCAAATATCCTTTTTTTGGACAGCTCTCTGGAGAAGGCTGTAATGCTCGGAAAGATGGAAGGAAAGAGAAGGGGACAAGCAGCAGCAAAAAGAGGGACTTAATTACAGTGGCAAGAACTACCTTGGAAGTGCTGAAAAACCAGGATAGGGATAGTGCTTCATGAAGAAAATCTATCTGTGTGGTTGCTGAGAGTTAAAAACAACTTAATAGCGTGTAATCAATTGTGCTACAGTAATAGGAGTCTGATCCTTGGTGTACTGATTCATATTTATGAGACTCTTAGGCTTCTGTGTCATGCTATAGTAATTGTTCAAGAAGGGGTAAGTTTGTACTTTTTACGAGGGATTCTCCATCCATTTTAATAGAAAAACTCTTATAGGAATTTTAGTGCAGGTAGAGCCAGCTGGAAGTAAAAGTCTACTATAGTGGACCTCTTTTCTGCAATTACCAATGATTTTAAAAATCCGTTTAAAAAGGAAATAAATATGTATAAGCCTGACTAAGTTAGTATTAGCAACCTTTCACTTCAAGTATGGCTACTTAAACAACTTCCCTGCTTATGTTGCACACGTTTAATAATGCAGAATATTTTTTATTACTCATATTCATTCTTTTAAATGGCAAAAAAGAAAAGAAAGAAAAGAATTTCCTGTCCAAGTCTAATGGATCTTTTAAATTAACCAGGACTCTGTATTATGTCTTTTGCATCCTATTAACATTTCCAATCTCACTCTTCTCCATTTGGTGCAGCTTTTCTCAAAATAAACAATATGTCCACTTTTTCACTGGAATGAAAACACATTAACTGATTGCAACATAAATCATTTTTACAGTTTTTATTACTACATTGGAAATTCAACTTTTCTCAGCCTCATTTAAAAAGTAGATACTCCAGAATAGGAATCTGTTTTCTAATTTGATTTTCAAATTTTTCTTTTCATCTAAAGCAGAACCAATATCACTTACTGTATTTTCACTCTCACTGTATTTTCAGCTCCATCCTGAAATCCAAGCAGGATTTTGGCACAGAGTATTTGTAGCACAGGGCATTTGCAACCAGTCCCCAGAAGCCAGAAGGTGGCATCCTTCTGATGCAGGTGGTGTTAGCGTTGCGACCTTCCCTGGCAGCTTCCCTATTGACTTTCTGGGGAAGCCAGCAGAGAAGATTGTGAATGGTGATCACCTGATTGCGGGATACTTGGCAACCAGTAGTTTATTTAAAAAAAATAAACATAATTTTAAACTATATTCTGCTCACTCCTACCTTACTCTAAATCAGTGGTTCTCAACCTTTTTAATCCTGCGACCCCCAACCGGTTGTAAGTCGAGGACTACCCAACCGGTCATAAGTCGAGGACTTTCCCTGCCCAGGAGTGCTGCGCATGCGTAGTGCTGCCCCCTGCGCTGGCCGATGCCTAGCTGGCAAGGGGCAGCGATGGCACAAGGCGACCACTGGCTGGGCCACCAGCTGGCCCAGTCCAGGCAGGTAAGGCACCCACCAGGCCCCACGCGCGCCAGAAACCCTCCCTGCACTCGCCAGCCTCCCACCTCCCACGCCTGGCCCTCTTTTACTTACTTTTAGTATTTGCTCAGCAGGGAGGGAAGCTTTCCTTGCAGCACCATTTGCAGACTGGGGCTTTTGGCAGTCTCAGCAGGGCAGAGACAGCCTGGACAATTCCTATTGGCTTTTGAAAGCCAGTAGAATTAGACTCTATTCAAGAGAGTCTATTCTATTGGCTTTCGAAAGCCAATAGATTGTATTGGCTTTCGAACGCCAATAGAATAGAGTCTCTTGTATAGAGTCTATTCTATTGGCTTTCAAAAGCCAATAGAATAAAAGGGAGTAGCACAGCTAAAGAAAAGGGGGGGGGAAATGGGGGGAAAAATGGCAGACAGCCTTGTTTGGCGACCCCCGTGAAATGGTCGTTCGACCCCAAATGGGGTCGCGACCCACAGGTTGAGAACCACTGCTCTAAATGATAACAAATATAAAGAGTTTTATACTTACTAAAAATATTATATTGTTTCATTTAGTTGGTATCTGTATTGCTATCTTAAAGGATAAAATAAATGAATTAAGACTGGTCCTTGCTGTAAAGATTGCACTGAGCTCTGATAGTTATTTGCCCAATAGGACATTGCTGTAGATGCATTTGCTATTTCTCTTCCATCTTTTTTTTTAAAAAAACACACAAATCAGTTATAGAAATTGTGGCAGATTTCCATGGTTTTGCTTTTCAGAAAAAAAATATGGAAACAATATTGATAAAGTAGGGCTTCCTATAAAATTTAAATTATCTGTGTCTGTTCTGTTATAAATATTTGATTAAAAGCAGTTGACCATGTTCTTCACCCAAAGATATAAAGATGCTCAAGTTCATTGTGACTGAATAGCAATCTAGTAATAAAGGCCTATTACGGAATTCTGGCTTCAAATTGGAGATTAAACAGACCCTTTGTTTAGAGTTGATCTGATTTGGTTCTTGGTTTTAATTTAATTGGTTTAAGGCATAGGGTTCTTAATACTGATCCTGTTAATACTAATTAGCTGAGAAATACTGTGTTAAAAGACATTTGGTTCAAGATGCAGTAATTTTTGACTGGTCGGAGGTAGTGTTGAAATAGTGACCTATTGAGTGTGGGAAGGAAGGAAGGAAATGATACCATAGAACATTCACCAAGTTATTTAATCTATGGCTATGAATGAAGGCAAATATATGTTTCCTAGGATAAAGTTGAATACACACATTCTGGTAGACAGAGGTTCCTGAGGATGGGCTCCAGCATATCTGAAAGTTCAGAAGACTAAACCTCTGGTCCCAGTGACTGACCCAGATTGGATCCTGCAATTAGGGCTACTTTGTAAAGCACAGAATTAATTTGAACTCATCGACCCTTGTAACAGCTTCTCAGGCCATGCTTATTTTCTGATTTGGTCTGCAATACATTTGTTCTATTGCACATCACATAGATCGCATACAGTAATCTATCAAGACTTACTGTCTTGTTGTTTTATATACACAGAGAGCTTATGCACTGGAGGCAAATTCCTTGTGTGTCCAATCACACTTGGCCAATAAAGAATATTGTTATTCCTATTCTAGTTCAGAGATGATTATTTCTGTTTCATCCAGAAAATTAGAATTTTCATAGAAAATAAATGTTGTATGGATAACATCTTTTTGTGCAACACATTTTAATAATTGTGATAGGCAAGAATTACTTTCATTTCTTAACACGTTTTTCTCTCATTATTAAACAACTATTTTAACAGTGATATTAACTTTATAAATGTACATTCATTACATTCCAGCTTTTCCTATTTTAAAAATCATTGAAGCTGATTCCCTCTTTTGCTTTATTTTAACGGAATGACTCCATCATGAAATGGACTACCCACTTCTGTATTAAGCTCCTTCCTGCTGTTTTTAGAAAGCTCCCTAGTTGTGAAATTTCAGCCTGCTTGTCAAAGATAAAGTTGTGAGTATAGCCAAAGCAGATGAAAATGTTTTAACAAGAGAGACCAATGATTGGTCCAGAAGTCAGTAGTACTTTAAGCAAGCAAGAGATTTCCTATTCCTGAAGACTATTTCCTGTGCAAATAAACTATCATTGTTGGAACATATACAAAACATAATTCTTCCTTATGGTGAAAAGATTTGAATGGGGTTCCAGTTTTTACAAGGCATGTAATACACTTTTATGCCTGATAGTTACAAGATGTTCCATGGTTCTGTTTGAGTAACAGCTGCAAAAAGCTTAGCAATACGAGTAGTTCCTCTTTAAATGAGAATGGGATGGAGTAAAATAACTTTTCCAACTTCATGATTTTGAAGTCGTGATACATTGATGATGATGTGATATCCCAGTGGTAATTCAAGAAAATTGGGTTTTTCAAAAACGGTCCCAGTCCTGCTAGCAAACCATACTTGCATCCAGATCGGCCATGTTTCAAATTGAATCAGTAATATGAATTACAATATGATGCGTTCTCTCTCATTCATTGTATCATTTTCATACTACAGTATTGCAGTCCCACATTCATGCAGCTGCAGCCATTGAAATCAGCTGGCTGAAGTTTCTTTTTAAAATCTGCTTGTTGTCAGTTTTTCTGAAAATATTAAGTGTTCCTTCAGATTGCTGGATTAAAAAGATTTCAGAAGCTTTCTTAAAGCAAGGGATTTTCTCTATTACTATCCTCTCTACCATGCACACAGATTGAGGAGGTTTACTCAATGATTTACTAATTGTTTGCCTAAAAATCTCAGACTACTCTTCCTGAATTATGTTACTGAACAAATGAACAAATATTTGATGTATGTGTGTCTAGACACAAACATGTTTCCTCTGTTTATTATTTTCAAATGAAATTAATCATTTCAAATATAAGCACCTAGATTTATTTGAGAGTCTGGCAGCCTTTAACTAAATAACTTTTTCATCAATTACAATTCAGTAAGTTTTTTTTAACATTTCAGTAAGTTTTTTTTAACACGTGGCTATTGATCTTCGCTTAAATTAACTTAAATTATTCTGAATATTGTATTAGTTAAAGGGAGTATGAATACCAATTCCACATTTAACCTTGAAACTAGCTATCTGATTTTTGCCTATTATTTTCTATCAGCCCACATGATTTTTATTGTGAGGATAAAATGAAAGGTGATTGTCTAAAAAAAGGTAGAAAATAAATGCAGGATTAAGTCAGTAAGCAAAAGAAGATAAGAAATTAATGTGATTTATTTTATTATTTCTTTGTTTCTTAACAGATGAGAATAGGTATTCACTCAGGATCTGTTCTGGCTGGAGTTGTTGGGGTGAGAATGCCCAGATATTGTCTCTTCGGCAACAATGTCACCCTAGCAAGTAAGTTTGAGTCAGGAAGTCATCCACGCCGCATCAACGTCAGCCCAACGACCTATCAGTAAGTGTTCTTCAGCCTTTTTTTCAAATATACTTCTTAAAGCTTTGGCACACAGCATTTCTGATCATAAAACAAAATGATATATCACCCCAATGTACTGTACATTTTCAATATAAAGTAAATCTAGGGGCATAAGACAATGTGTGTCTAGGTAAGCTTTTAACCAGAAAAAGACTATATTGTCTGCATGTCTTCTATCAATCAATCAATCTCTTTAAGAATTAGGGACATACCTATTTAGGGCCTGGTTTCAGAATAAAAGAGTTATATATTGAGCAAGAATGCTTGGAAGTTGTGCTTTCTTAATGTTCTCCATATTTTTAGTTGGGTGCTTTAGCATAAGAACTTGTAACTATAATTATTTTCCTTTGATGTGACCTATGCAGCAAATATTCAATATTAAAAAAACCTTCCTTTTTACCACCCTGTAATCCCTTAATTCAGAGTAGGGTTGGGGCAACTGGTTGGAGCTGAGTGTTTACTAGCCAGATGCCCTTCCTGACACCACTCAGAGTTTGCAGCAGATTTTTTTTCCCCCAATATACAGGTCCAAAAATCCATCACATTCAAAATTTCTTCCTTTCAGATATTCTGATTGTTCAAAGGCTGCCTTTTGTTAGTATTTTTTGCAAAATACCAGTTAAAGCAATTTTAGTCATCTCTTTCGACAGTGCTTTGAGTGTGGCCTATCAGATTAGGCTCAATAAAATATGGCATGAAACAATTGAGAAATCATGTAAGCCACAGCCCCTAAAGAAAATATTATTGTGAAAAGCACAGTTAGATGTGCCCCCAATGTTTTAATAATTTTCAAAGGCACGTTCAGAGTCTAAAAGTGAACTGGATTTCTGAACCTGTCTTACACATATGATTCCTTCTGACTAATTTAACTCATTTTGTAGTTAGAAACTTTTTTCACTATTGTAGGTTTTGTAGTTTTCTTCCTGTGGTTTCAGATTGTTTGCCTTTTTGTATGCTTTCCCTTTTTAATAATCTCAAGACTCTCTGTGTTTGTGTTCATTTGTGTAAACTTCTATATAAATGAAAGCTTATATAATTGTCTTCACCCAGGATGTTCAGAGACTGATACAATTGAATATAAAACAGCTAGAGATTTGATGTTTTAAAAGCAATTAAAAATATTGCTCAAAATGAAGATTATTCACTATAGATAAAAATCAGATAATGACTATACAGAGCCAATTTGGGTGCTTCAGCAAGGGGCAGACATGTTGAGCAGATTTTGATGGATGGATAATGGATGAAGAGAGGTGAAGCTGGAATAGGGAATACAAAGTAATTTGGGAACCAGTTGGCATAAAATAAATTATTTTGTCCCAGATCGACCTAGTAACAAACAGTTATTAAAATTTCAGTGATTAGTATTTGAAATCAGAATCTAATTTCCCTGTGCAATTCTGTCAGATTGTTTTGTTCTGATTTTTAATTCTTTTCTCGTGATGCTCAAATTTGACATGAGAATAGATACTCCGCAGCAGGTCCCCATAAATTAAAATCTGATTTATACCTTGGAATGTGAATTTTGCACAATCAAGATAATCTTTTGTGATATTTATTCCAAAGTCACACAAGATCTTTTGACTGAATTGCAGGGATCAATTCTTCAGTGATACGTATAAATGTTGTATACTCTGCTATCAAGCTACAGTCCCTGTTTCTGAAGCTCGTTATCTTACTCTGTCAATAGAACAGGCGATGCTCAGCAAAGCAAGTCAACAACCAAGCAAGCAAGACTAGCAGCCAGAAAATTGTGCTCAGATGTTTTGTTCTAAAATCTATTACTCCTGCCTCATATGCCATCTGGCCTTTTCTCTTTTACACACTGAAAACTGGATGTTTGAACAAACTGTGCCTTAGACTCAATTCTACAGTTGTTTTTGTGAAATCATTGAAAACCTAACCACTGATTGTAACTAAACTGATGGAGCAGTTTACATTCTACACCAGTGTTTCTCAACCTCAGGAACTTTAAGTTGGGTAGACTTCATCTCCCAGAATTCATCAGCCATCTGGGGAATTCTGGGAATGAAGCCCACCCATCTTAAAGTTCTTGAAGTTGAGAAACATTTTTGTATATGAGGAAGTCATCGGGAATTGAACTGTACTCAAATAAGGCTCCTAGTTTCTGCATAATCAGATAAATAAAGTGATTCTGTTCCTTTAAAGCTTAAAATGATAGTTTCATTTTTAGTGCTTTAAAATTTTTAAATAGTTAATGTCTGAAATAATACAGTTTTACAATTTCTCTGTAAAGAAAGCCTGCCATTGCTGTTCAAAGTTAAAAGTTGTGTTTCCCCCAAAGAAGCAACAATTTGGTTATAGTACTCTCTTCTTTCATACTTCTCTTAAAAACCCCTGTTTCTTGATTTTTCTCCTTCTTAAACTCACATTTCCTAACCACATGGTTGCCACCCTTTGTATTATATGCATGAACTGGTGAAAGGAAACACAGTTGTTGTTTCTTCCATTCCAATGTCACTTGACCCACCACCTCCAATGTCAATTTGAAGCTAATTCTGCAAAAAGTTGAGATTTCAAGATCAGCACTCTGTGTCTCAGGGCGAACTCTTCGTGCTCACATACTGTTCCTCTGTGCCAGTGTAAACAAGGTAGTCCTTCCGAAATTCCTGCTTGGATGAGAATCTCACAAAGTTGTTCTTCTTTGCTGAAACAGAAAATGCTGCTCCAATTATAACAATGTACTAAATCCAATGCACAGGCTGCTTGTCCAGGATATAATAATTTTAATGTATGCCCGAATGAATTTCAAAGCTAAACAAAAACCATTGTCAGCAGTTACAGGTGCTTACAAGTGGCTGTTTCCTTGGATTATATATGATGCACTCTGCTTATTTAGAAAATTCCACTTCATTGGTTTTTAGCCAGTGGCTCTAATCAAGATACCTCATACTCAGTAGGGAATAGCAGACGACACGTGTCTCTTTATTGCACACCAGGGATTTTCACTCCATCTAGCAGGCGACACGTGTCTCTTTATTGCACACAAGGGATTTTCACTCCATCTTTTCTGAAAAGTGAACAGATTTATCCTGCGAATATCACTGAAAACCTTTGAAAGGTGCACCACTTTCCATGTTTGATCTGTTACACAGGCAGAGCTTGTTTCTGTGCTTGGATTGTTCCTGTTAAATCAAATAGCAGTTTAAATGCCTAGTTTTACGGAAAACAGTGCCTTTCATTGGCAGGCCATTGTAAAAAAAGGGGACCAGAACTTAGTTAATTTGGATATGGTAGAGAACTTATTTCTGAAATGCCAGCTCTTTGGTAAAATAGGTGCCATATGTATGTAATTTTGTGTTACTTTGTAAACAACCCGCTCTTTATTTTCTCCCCTCTTTTTAAAGAAAAGCCATAATACAATATTATATCTAAACATCCAACTGTGATTTTTTAATCTCAGTTATATTTTCACTGAATTTGAAAAATATTAAAGTAATAAATCTGATATAGATTAAAAGCTTTATTCTGTTCAGTACCCACAGTGACTGTTGAAGGGGGATGTGGTATGTAGAGGAACATAATGCTTAATTGCCATGACATTAGGAAAAGAGAAAGTTTTCTGCTTTCTATTCTAGGGATCTTCAGATTATTTGAGGAGCTTTGTTTTCCTGTTCGTTGTAGGATCTTTACTTCCCATTTTCTTCCAATTAATTTAGAATAGTGTTAACATTTCACCCTAAGTTTGTGAAGTTGATAAGGGTGGGAAAGAGCCAGTCTATGGGTCCAAGTGCTTGATTTGATCTTCTGTTGGATGATTTCAGAAAAGCAATTGATTGTGCTGAAAAGTGTTAGATTGACAGTTGGTATCATTAGAGTGTTGTCAGGAATCCTTGTTTACATAAAAAAAAAAACACGATTTTGTTCAAATCCAGTAATGAATACAGTTCTCAGTCAGTGACTGTAATTGTCAAATAAAAATGTAAACCTGGATTTTTTCCAAGCAGTATTAACACTAGACAAACAGTCAACAGTAAACAATATCCTACTCAAGGAACTACCAGGGGAAAATGACACTCCTACCAACATAGAAAGGGCAAACTACCTTATATAAACAGACCCTACTCCCTTCCCACAATGAAGTTGTTACCTTATTTGATAAGGAAATATCCGCAAGCAAACAACTAAACTCAGAGAGCACCAGGAACTGTACAGTTCATACAGATTTTCTCTTCTATTAATTGTGGATCTTATCAAAATCAGGATTACATGTCACCACTATTCCAGGTGATTGACTGGTGTATAGCACTACTAGATATATTTGATCCATGAATGTCCATGGATAATTGGCAAAGGTGCAACATAAATTCAAGGATATTTTTTTTATTCACATAACGCTAGAATTCGATTATAATGAGTGATTATAATTAATTGATAATTCCAATTTTGCATTAGCAATACATGTTGGCCATTTGTTTCCATGACTTTGACAAAGATTATATAATTTTATGGATAAATCTATGATGACTATATTTAATTTTCAGATTTATAGAAACAATGCCATTAAATATCAACTGTTACCAAATAACTGGGGCATACTATAGCTAGAAAACTGATTACTGAAGGGAAAAAAATTGGGCACTGGAACAGACCAACCTTCATTCTGAAACTTTAAAGTTCTCCTTGCATAATGATATATCATTATGCAATTCCAAGGAAATCATCCCATATTTATACTGGTTTGGTATTTTTTGTCCTACCTGGAATCATTTAGATTAAATAAATGCATGGCAATTTGTAAGTGCAGTTGTTTTTCAGATAATAGATGTTACTGTATAGATCAGTGATGGCGAACCTTTTAGAGACCAAGTGCCCCAAAACTGGCCTGCCCCTGGCCCACTCCTGCCTTGCTCTGTCCTCACCCCGCCCACCCTCAGGGCCATCCACGGCCTGCCACAGATCACCCATGGTGGCCACGTCATCCGCCTGCACCCTGTAGCATCATCTGCTGTCCAGCTGCC